TTGTAAACACTGATCACTTTCCGGATGGCTGGTGTGTGTCTTAACGACTGCAGGAGAGCCTGGGAAGGATACAAACAAAAATGTCTACAACAAAAAGGTTATTTCTGATGACCAAACTGACAAAAACAAACATCTGAAACCAACAGCTGATTATTTCTGCAGACTAAGATGAAAACACTTCACCCCTGCCTTCAGTGGGTTGTGATTCCCATGCCTCTCTATAACATGATATAAAACTGCCATCTGGAAAGACAGAAAGATGCCAATGAAATGTACTGAAGGACATGCACAGACCAACACAGACTATTTTGTTGACCTACTATGTCTTTCAGAAAAAGAATTCATGTTACCATTGCTAAAATGAACACAACAATCCTGAACTAACATCTCAAGCAAATCAAATTATTTAATTCTCACAATTAGCAACTGAGCAAAATAACACAACAAACCTTAGTACACTCACAAAACAAAGTTAAAGAAACAAACTTAAACTAAACACAAGATTGAAAGACTGACCTGTCTAAAACTCTCATGGATGATGTTGATGTTCTCACGTGTAGAGTACAAGACTGATCGGACAATTTCATATTCTGATAAAGTATGTGGTTCCCCGGTGAAACCTGGCATCCCCTCCTGATTAACGGAGGCAAAATCTGAAGACATGGTGCTCTCTTTGCTGCCTGGAAGTGTTGCATCCTCTTCGCTGCCAACACCTCTTCCATCATCCGGCACTTCTCCAACATGAGAAGATGGCTCAGTCAGAATGGTGCCTGAAAGACCTCTGGAGATGGTCAGAATTACAAGTGACTGTCACTAAAATAAATTATCTTTACATCATTTTGTATCCTTACAGACGCATATTTATCAAGCAAATCTATGATTACTGTTACAAGTCAACAAAAGGGTTTCTTAACAACTGAAAATCACAAACTGTGTCAAGACAGTTGTCATATAGTATAGGTTAGTTGTGTATCCTTTACAGGACATTGCAGAACCAACCCCAGCAGCCCCTGGTTGTTGTGTGGTTTCTCTAGGCAAATTTACATCCAGTAGTTTGCCATTGCTTTCTGGACAGTCGTCTTCTTGATACCACTGTCGAAAACAAAGCAAAGCGCATGGCCTGCAGCTGGGATCGAACCCGGCACCCCGGCATTAGAAGTGTTCGCATCGACTTAGCCACAGAGCTGACTGTCATATACTATACAAGCCAAATTTTTAATCTATCGTCAACAACAACAAAACAAAGTGGCTTCATAAGTCCAGCCAGCCTTTAAAAAATAAAATTTAAAAGTCAGCAGTTCTGATATTTTTTTTAAAAGATCCATCATGACAATGACATCATCCATCAAGTGCCAACTGGTCATTAAAAATATGGAACTAGAACTATATGCCCAATACACCTCAAGGTATGGAACAAGATCCTCTACTTTAATTTCTAAATACAGCCTTTCTTTAATTTGTCTACCTGCACACAGTGCACCAACTGAAGCGGCTCAAAGATCATTCCTTACTTAAACTTAGTCACTCCTCTTCCACCTTTGGGTGTAGAGGTTTGCCAAAGAGATCGCCAGACGTCTAAAAATCATTTCACGTTCAACCTTTGAGCGTCTTTGAAGCCAAGCTTCTATAAATCTAGATTGGGTTAACTAGATCTTCTGGTAACCTTTGTGTCGAGATATCTATCCTTACAGGACAGCGGGTTATCAATGCTAGTCTAGCCATTAAATGTGACCCAATTATAACTTCTCTGATGTGACTTAAGGAACTTGGACCTGCCCTGTTTGTCTGCCCTGTTTGTCATTTCAGATATTTTGTTATCTCAGGGTGAAAAACCTTCAGGCAGAAGACTGCAGGACAGGAAAGGAAGCAGCAACTTGTGCTCAGATTTTGGGGATGGACACAATGAGCAACACCACAGCACAGGTTTTAGGCACAAAAGGAATCACTAGCAGATAGCAGCTAGGCAATAGCAGCCGCCATAGTGGCACTTACATGCCTTGCTGAACCTAAAGCAACTTATGTATTGATAGTGATAAGACTCAATTAGCATGCTTAAGAAGATCTAAACTGGCAGACTAATTAGAATTGGTTGATAGCATCCAGAAGTCCTGCTCAGGAAACTATCTTGGCTGTACACAACAGGATAGGCCAGGGTGAAAGGAAATGAAAGAGCCGACAGACTGGTTGCGTCTGCAGTTGTTAGTGCAGGAAAAAGTATGGACAAGGCAGACATACTGAATGTTTTGTGTTCCAGAGACATGGAGACAAAGGAATCAGAGACTATGAACCACCTATTGGAAAATGTTACTGAATGTTTTGTGTTCCAGAGACATGGAGACAAAGGAATCAGAGACTATGAACCACCTATTGGAAAATGTTACTGAATGAGTAAAAGCATGCACAAACCAGCTGCTGAACAAAGAACGAAGATTTGCCAGTCAACTCCTGCTGGGTACAGTGAGCATGAGACACTCAGATGGCTGCTGAATCTGAGGATGGAGCATGAAAGGATCGGACCGATGTGCTAGCATGTAATATGCATAACAAATAACAAGAATCCTTAAAGAATAAAGTAAACCATATAGGACAACTAGTTTCAAAACTGAAAGACAACAATGTGCAATGGTTAACAAAACTGCTGAGACAAATGTTCTTACTGCTGCAAGTCTGTAGCCTGCTTGTGACTAGTCATGGTGAAGTTTGCCAGCCAAAAGATGAAAGAGTCCCGACACTCTGACACAAACAGGGGCTCATCTTTCTTGTTCATCATCTCTTTACTTCTGGCTACAGGCAGATCTGCAGATATTCGACAACACACTTTACTGTTACCTTATGCATTTAAATTTTTTGTTTCTTAACACTGATATCAACTTGCACATCCACTTATATTTAAGTTGACACACTTCTTAAAATGAAAAAGAACACGTCCCAATAGGGAAAGCAATTTTTTTTAATTATTTACAAGCCCCACTGCTTATATCATTTGAGGGCCTAATATAACCTGATGGTTGAATGGGGTTTCTGAGATTTGTGTCCAGGCAATTTTCATCCAAATGGTAGCACTTTGTATCACTGGGTGTTTATCGCTCACTGTGCAGTTCTGATAGGGTTGAATGTCACTCACTCACTTCTAAAAACGTTGACATTGTGGACACATGATTTTATTCTCTTCTTTTAAATACAGCTTTTTTTTTAAAAAATATTCTCTCAAATACAGCTTCTTTATCTTCTCTTAAATACAGCTTCTTTATTTTCTCTTAAATACAGCTTCTTTATTTTCTCTTAAATACAGCTGCTTTATTTTCTCTTAAATACAGCTTCTTTATTTGTCTTAAATACAGCTTCTTTATTTGTCTTAAATACAGCTTCTTTATTTTCTCTTAAATACCCAAGAGAGGAAAAAAGGAAAGGAATCCAAAAGCAATCATATAGCACTTTATGGCTTGGATTCTCTCTAATGCTAGGATCCAATGCAAAACAAGGGTCTTGCAATGGTGTGACTCGTACATCAGGTGCATTATTAGTTTACGCTTAGAGTTTAGTTGAGTTGAGTCAAGAATCGACATCACAGAACTCGGGGCATTCCCATGCATGCTCCGTCCTCATCTTCAGCAGCCAGCACAGAGTTCCAATACTGATGGTACCGGTCACAGTCTGGTTAAATGTCCGTCTTGCCTTTTCTCTGAAGGTAGTGAGCGGGCCAGACCTTCTGGTTGCACCCAGGTGCCGCATTCTTTCTACGCCATAATAATCTTCTTTCTCTACTGATTCGGCTGTTGTTCCCAAAGGGCCTTGATCACATCTGCCTTGTCATGTATCGATTCATCACCCAGCGGTGCAGATCCAGCCAATCTGTCTGCCTGTTCATTACCCACCACACCGGCATGGCCTGGAGTAAAGATCCACAGTGTGCTCACCTCCAGTGAAGCTTGCCACTCTGCTCCAAGCAGCCCTGTCTTTACCTTTCTCAGCATGCTTTCAGAGTCAGTTACAATTACGACAATGTGTATGCATCTTGTTCTCTAGCCACCGGAGAGCTGCAGTTATTGCCTCCACCTCTATCCTCATGCTAGATGTTGTGGTGTCATATGCTAGGCTGTCTTGCCTTAAAGATTTTCCATTGGCTTTCGCTACAAACCTCCAGGCACTTCTCTTTCCTCTCAACACTGAACCATCTGTATAGATTATCAGATCACTTGGGCGTGAATTGTCATGACTTCCTCCGTAGCACCCGCTGGCCACTCTGCACACTCGGCCCAATGTTATCATAACCCTGTTCTGCTGGTACTCTGACCCACTCCTCTCCTCGCCCAATGTTCTCCAGCATGCATACTTGTCTAATTGTGTCTTCTGCTTGAACCATCTACGATTTTCCCTTTTTCAGCCTCTGACCCTTGCCTGTAGCCAAAGCTTCATACAGAGGGTGTTCCCTGTCTGCAGCTACTCTGAGGTATAATTTAGCCTGCAGCATCTTTAGCCTATCTGCAATAGTCGCCAATCCAAGGATGTATCGCATGCATAAAATCGGGGTGTCTCTTGTACAACCCAGAATCAGCTGCAAAGCTTCATTCTGCATGCGCTCTAGTTTCTCTAGCTGGCTCTTCGAGACAGTGAGTAACCCCAATACATAATCAATCAATAAGATGATAAACTGCTAGTTAGTTTTCGCATTTTACGTCACTAATCATTTTTTGTAATAAATTACCTAATTTATTTCAATAATACCCCATAATTAATCAACACAATACACCAAGAAATACAACACATTTTTCTGTACATCCACACTTCTAGATACTCAATAAGATTTTCTAGTTGCTTGTTCATGGTCAAGTCCCAACAGCAAGGTTGAGTATACATAACATTTGACATTTCTCATTTTTAATGTGTTGTTGATCTCTCTAGCTGCCAATAATTTTTACAACTTATTGACATACGACAGAAGAAAGGTGCATCAGATCAGTATAAATATTTAGCCTCAAACAGACAGGGTTCGAACTTACCTTGCACAGGATCAAAAATGTCTCGACAGACAAAGTCAGGCAGCAGCCAGTGCAGGTACTTCACCTTGAACTTATTAAACAAAAATTCAAAACTCTGCTCTCTCATTCCTTTGTTCGTCCACTCAACTTTGATCACCTACGAATGCAACAAATGTCAGCAAGTGTGATTACATGTACAGACTTCTCCTTCGTGTTCACCAGCTAGAAACTCCGGTGTAAAGTTATGGTTGTTTGTCCACTTCTGGCTTTGGTCTTGTTCCAGAATTTGAGCGCTGTGTGCACATCCATTCTACGCATCTGGCTTATTTGTATGCAGACCGTTGGTTCCTTGCCTCTTAGGCAGATGCACGCCAACTTCAACACAATCAAATTATGTGATTCTCTGTTTGTAAGCATAAAATTTCTAATGGATAGTTTAAATACAACAGTCACCATCAACAAATAACAATATTTCTGAGGGTGATGAGGAATCTGTGAGTTTGAATAGAATGTTATGACGCTAATTATTAAAGCCAAGAATGTTTCAGTCTTGATCAACCTGATTCTACTGAAACTAATAAGCCAATATTTACAATGAAATCACTACCTCAGACACCATGTAGTTTAGCAAACTGTCTAGAAAATACTTGGTCAGATTTTCTGGCAACTTCTCTGCTTGTCCAGGAAGAATGGCCGTGATCTCTCCCGCTGCAATAATTCCTCCGATGTCTGCAAAAAAAATAATTTTGCCACAGATAACATTGGTTTGTCACAAAAACTTACAAAACAAAACAGTTTTTATACAGAAAATATGATTCCTCATCTTCATTTGTTTTCTATCTCCTGTGAAGCATAGGCGCCTGAGCCACCACATGTCAAACCTTTCACAGAGTTGCTGACGATTGGTTGAATTTTGCAACTAAAATCTTCACAGCAAGATCTTCTTTATCATTGCATTCAACCTTTAAAAAAAGGTGGCTGGCGCATTGTGTTGTGGCTTACAGCTAGGCTGTGATGTCTGCCTCTTTCAACAGAACAGTATATGGTCCGTATACAAGGTCTGACAATTAAGTAATGAGACTAATTCCATTTAAAATTAAAATAATCAACAGTTGAACATGTAACCTGTATTTTATTCAAAGTAAGCCCCTTATGCATAGATACAGCAAGTGGCACGATCTAACAAAAACTGGAACGACCTCTGTAGTTCTTCTGTTGTTATGGACCCTAAAGTCATTACGGCCCTTTGGATGTCGTCAATATCATTAAAGAAGCATCCTTTCAAACGTAACATTAATTTAGAAATAGAAAATAATCACAGAGAGACAAATCTGGGAATTAGGGTGGAAGACTGAGAACATACACTTGTTTTTAGGCCGAAAATTCATGTTTTTATCATGTATTTTGAGTACTCAACTCGCTGATGTTTTTGGTCATCAGACAACGATTGTAGTATGAATTGGCAAGAAACTTTTCTTGCCAAAATCTTACACTAAAATGTTACGAATGGTCTCTCTATTAACATCAGATTCATCTGCCATCATCCTCACAGTAAAACAATGATCTTCTTGTATCCGTTCTCTAACTTTTGCAATGAGTTCACCATTACGAACATAAATTTGGTGTCCAGGTCTAAGTGCATTAGTAATCATTTCCACACCACTTTTGAATCATGAATACCACCTGAAATTTGTGCACGAGATTAACAATTTTCCCCATAAACTTGTTGCATCAATTCAACTGTTTCAATGGCGCTTTTTCTGAGTTTTTAAAAGAATTTAATGTTAGCTTTTTGCTCCGTGCTGATTACATAACACTGCACCTCTGATTAGGTCAATAAAATGGAGGCTTGTCTGCTGTCTGCTCATCGAGCGGCGATAAAAAGTTGCCAAATCATAGATGAATGTTGCCTCTTTATATTCCATACTTTGCTTCATAGATGGCATTTTTCTCTTGGCCATAATAAAATCAGTCTCATTACTCAATTGTCGGACCTTGTATATTAGAAAAAGCAATGGCTAACAATTGTCACCACAAAAACGCCATAATTACCGCAAGAATATGATATATAAATAAATATACATATATTTAATTATATCTGTTACAGTAATTATCACATGACGGAGTTTATGGCAATCACTCACTGTCAGCAGAAAAACGCCATAATGTACGCAAGAAATGATAAATAAATAATCTACAGTGACAACCAGAACTGACTATACATATACATTTATATACACTTAATGATGTCTGCTATGGTAATTATCACACGATGGAGTTTATGGCAATCACTCACTGTCAGCCGATGTAATGTTGTCGGTCATCAATGTCAACAAGTCGTGACCCTTGTGGCTGAGGCCTGGCACTAGGTTGTAAAAGATCTGGTGACATTCCTCACTTGCGTTGTCTTGCAGACACTGGTACCAGATGAGAAAGAATCTGACACCATGACGACGAAGCTGAAATATGCAACAAGACAATCACTGTGTGTACCCAAATGATGTTATCACTGTAATGTGTCATTACTATAGAATATACTCTCTTATTTCAGTGTTGTATATAACCAAATGACCATATTAATATTTCTTGTGACTAAGACTATGAAATGTGTTTCTCAAGCCAAATTTCTATATATCAAAATGTTACCACTGCAATGTTTACTATTCTTATTCTGCTCCCATTTCCAAAAAGAGGCATAAGCCCTCTGTATTGTTTATTTTCTTATATGGATGGACTCTCACTGTGAAAATGGAAAGGAGGATTCACGCTTTCAAATGTAAATGTTACAGATGCATTTTACGAATCAGTTATTTAAAACACAAAACTAACAAATATGTCACAGACAATATAGACAAATTTGCAGGATATCAGGGGCCTCTCTTGATAGTGGAGAAATGTCGCAAGCTAGCTTACTTTGGGCACGTGGTGAGACATGATTCATCTGCAAAGATCGTACTTTAAGGAACATTGGTGGGAGAGGGGGAGGGGGGGGGGTGTAGTCGAAGAAGAGGAGGGCAAAGAAGACAAAGAAGAATATGGAATAACAACACCAAAAAATGGACAGGACTCAATTATCAAACATTTATTCAACAAGCAGAAGATAAAGCTGGTGAGTTTTGTGTCCTATTGCTTTCATCGATACATCTCCACAACCCTAAGAGGTCAAGGGTTATATTATGTTATAGGCCCTCAACCAAATTACACTATTCTCTTATCCTTTCTAATGCAAGAAGCTCACCCAATGTCCTTCACTTTTTATTTTTTAACATTTAATTCTCTAGTTACCTTCAATATTCACTGGACTTTGTTAAGATATCTCCAAAAGTTCAAAATTAATTATTCTGTTACACCATTTAATTCCCTCTGCACAGGCACCAGTTAATGAATGTTCATCATTTTACAAGATCTTTGTTTCTCATTCAAATTTTTCATTAACTAAATTATGATGCTTTACAAATACATATATTCTTCTTCACGATCACCAGGTATTAACTCCAGTGCAAAGTTCTGGTTGTTCATCCACTTCTGGACTTTAGTCTTGTTCTAGAACATCAGTTGTACGGATCTGGATTTTTTATATGCAGACTGTTGGTCCCTTACCCCTCAGGCAGATGCTCTTCAACTTCAAAGGAAACCCCTAGTCGACTCTTACAACATACCTGTTAGGGAGGCAGTGGATCTATTCTTTTGTCTTTCCCTACACTTGCTTCCTAGAACCCACACAAGGAACATATGTAATATTATAAAATAATTCATTGAGAAATGGTCACTAACCTGAAGACTATTTCCTGGATGCAGCAGTTTCTTGATGACACGCCCTGTGTGAATGTAAGAAAATATTTTGATGATGAGAAAAGAACTAAAGCTGTCTATTTATAAAATCCCCCTTTCTAGGCAATCAGTGCCAGACCTATCATTAAAATCAAAGGAAAACATACATTTTAACAGATATGAAATGACAAATAAGAAGTAACCTAAAGGATCCGACCAATTAACTGCATGGTAGGTCAATGCAAGGCCTGTTCTCTGCTATGTTTCAAGGCCAAGAAGAGTACCAGTTCTCAACCAACCAACCGAAAACTTTGTGTAGACTTCTTCATGATTGGTTTGATAAAGCATCTAAAGTTTCCTACACGTTGAGCTGAGCTGAGTCAAGAATCATCATCACAGAGCTATGGACATTCCTATATGCGCTCTGTCCTTATCTTCAGCAGCAAGCAAAGAGTTCCAATTCCAACGGTTCTAGCAGCAATCTGATTATATCTCAATGTTTCCTTTCCTCTGAGTATGATGTGTTGGCCAGATTCTGGTCACTCCCTGCCACCACTCTCTTAACACTGTAATGATCTATTGGCAGTTCCACATTGTTCACTTGCTCCACAAGGGCCCTGACCACACCTAGCCTGTCATGCAGAAATCACCACTGAGTGGTGGAGCACCAGCCAGCCTCTCTTCTTGTTTATTTCTCAACACATCTGCATTCCCTTAAGAAAATATTCAAAGGATGCTAACTATTGGAGACCTCTGAAGCAATGCTTGCCACTCTGAACAGAGGATGCCTTTGTCCACCTTTTTTTTTCTTCGGCATGCTCTGTGAGTCTGTTAAAGGATGAAGTCTTTGGCCACACATCCTTAGCCACCCTCCAAGAGAAGCAAGGTAGCTTTCAGTGTTACTACTCTTTGCATCCACTGTGAGCACTTTGAACACACAGACAGAACAAAACAGTACCAATGTAAAGACAAAGACAATGTCCAGCAACATACCAATGCTATGGAACATCCATCGCTTGTGGACAATCTCTGGCAGGAGGAAGAGTATTTTCTGCAAACAGACAATGTTGTTTTCAAAGTCAACACCAGGGATCTTCTCCTTCTTGTGTCCTACTGTTTATGCCTTAAAGCGTCACAAATAGGTTAATGTCATATTACGTTCCTGAAGTGTTTTTTTAACTCTCTCAACCCATCTCTTTCTTGGTCAACCTCTTGATTTGTAGCCTGCTGTTTTCATGTAGTACGCACTAGCTGCTGGCTAATTTTGCTACATTATGACCAGATGGTTAATCCATTCAATTCTCTGATGTTCTATTTCCTTGTTCTTCTTCCTGTTCAACGGCTTTAAATTCTGAAGGAAAGTTCTGGTTGTTCATAACCTCCAGACTTTAGTCTTGTTCCAGAATTTGACTGTTGCGTACACATACGTTTCACAGATCTGGTTTGTTTCTATGCAGACTCTTGGTTTCTTGCCTCTTGGACAGATACACTCCGATTTCATGTAAATCAATGAGTCGACTGCTATGCCATGCTTGTTTGAGAGGCAGTGGGTCGATTCTTGTATTTTTTCCCAATGGTGCCCCGCAACCCACTTAAGGATATGATGTTGTATGAAATCACAGATACAATGTGTGAGGTTATAGATTAACAAGAAATATGCTACTGTGTGACAAATGCAGCTTTGAGAATAGAGTATCTATAGAATATGCAGACAACCTGGCAGCTGTGCAGATGAGTATACCCATCTGTCCAGAGAGATCAAAATTTTGGTCAAAAGATAAAGATCACAAAACCACTCAACTAGGTGCTGAGGTAAAGGGAAACCCATCACATATCCCAGAGAACAAGTGTATGATCATTTGATTTAAGGACTTTCTCAGGTGACTCCAACACCAAGTCTTAGGTCTAACCAATCAAGTGATGATGATGGTGATGGTGATGACGATGGTAATGATTACCTACCTCAAAAATGAACAATATGCCTTCAAGTTCTTCACGATGTGCTTTGTTGGCTGTAAGACACCAAACAATGGAAACATTATAAAGCCATTCTACCTGTTTTCTATCCATTTTATTACTCTAAAAATGTTGTTTGAATTAACAATTCAGAACAGGAAAAACTGTAAACATCCTGAAAACAAAATGTTTCTGTAAAGGTTTCCTACAAATGTAATGATGCATGCCAGAATAGATGCATAGCTACAGTTGATCACCAATAATGGATTTTTTTTTCCTTCACACTTACTGGCTGTAAATTCCTGAAGTAATTTCTGGTTACTCATCCATTTCTGGATTTCAGTCCTGTCTTAGAATCATGAGTGTTGGGTGCAAATCTGTTTTACAAATCTGGCTTATTTGTGTGCAGACTGCTGGTTCCTCACCTCTCAGGCACTGCGACCTCAAAGGAAATATCCGTAATTAGTTCACTCTAATATGCTTATTAGGGGCAGTGGGTCTACCCCAACCCCCAATGGAGTTCCGGAACCCACAAGGGGAAATGAAGGATGTGAATACAAAAAGAATTAGATATAAAACAAGCCCCAAAAAAATCACACGGGGAAATAAAGGATGTGAATTACAAAGAGAATTAGATATAAAACAAGCAAAAAAGGAATCCACACAACTAGTAATTTAAGTTTCAGCTTTATAGCAAACAGGTCACCCCAGCTTTGCTCCACTCCTGTGCCAACGAAAAACACACAGAATGTTTATCACAGTCCCTTGTGGAAAGATTGACAGACTGCTGTCTCAGCATATCTAACATACACATGCATTAAAAGCATATGGTAGCCATCCAAAATGCTAACACAAATAGTCCGACATTAGAAATGCAGTTCATCATGGATGGTAGCAGAAGTCACCAACAGATCTGCAGTTACACAGGCGATCAATTTTAATTACATAAAGGCACCACCAATATTGCGACAACAGGGATCGTGCTATTATCTACAATTCACACCACCATGTTGGTCAGTCGAAAAACATTCCAAATGAAATCCGCAGCTCACAGTGTCATGCCATGCACTCAAATCAGAAGCTGGGCAATAAAATTATATCCTTTCAGTCTACAAATGGAGCAAAAATGCAATGGCCACACTCTGGCAAAAGCAAAAAATTTGCCACAGCTCCAAACAGTGGCCATGCCTAGCGTCCATTTTGACAGGAAGTCACACAACTGTCTGGAGGGTTTATATCTGCTTCCCAGAGAGGGCAAAAGAGACAAAGTGAAACTCAGTTATGTCATCTCCACAATGAAAGTAGGCTACAAAACACCAACTGCTGTCTTTGTTTCTCTATTACATGGTGGGGCCCCATTTTCTATTACATGGTGAGGCCCCAATGTCTATTACATGGTAAGGCCCCAATGTCTATTACATGGTAAGGCCCCAATGTCAATTACATGGTGAGGTCCCAATCTCTATTACATGGTGAGGTCCCAATCTCTATTACATGGTAAGGCCCAATGTCTATTACATGGTGAGGTTCCAATGTCTATTACATGGTGAGGTTCCAATGTCTATTACATGGTGAGGCCCCAATGTCTATTACATGGTGAGGTTCCAATGTCTATTACATGGTAAGGCCCCAATGTCTATTACATGGTGAGGTTCCAATGTCTATTACATGGTGAGGCCCCAATGTCTATTACATGGTGAGGTTCCAATGTCTATTACATGGTGAGGTTCCAATGTCTATTACATGGTGAGGTTCCAATGTCTATTACATGGTGAGGTTCCAATGTCTATTACATGGTGAGGTTCCAATGTCTATTACATGGTGAGGTTCCAATGTCTATTACATGGTGAGGTTCCAATGTCTATTACATGGTGAGGTTCCAATGTCTATTACATGGTAAGGCCCCAATGTCTATTACATGGTAAGGCCCCAATGTCTATTACATGGTAAGGCCCCAATGTCTATTACATGGTAAGGCCCCAATGTCAATTACATGGTGAGGTCCCAATCTCTATTACATGGTGAGGTCCCAATCTCTATTACATGGTAAGGCCCAATGTCTATTACATGGTGAGGTTCCAATGTCTATTACATGGTGAGGTTCCAATGTCTATTACATGGTGAGGCCCCAATGTCTATTACATGGTAAGGCCCCAATGTCTATTACATGGTAAGGCCCCATTTTCTATTACATGGTAAGGCCCCAATGTCTATTACATGGTGAGGCCTCAATCTCTATTATATGGTAAGGCCCCAATCTCTATTATATGGTAAGGCCCCAATCTCTATTATATGGTAAGGCCCCAATGTCTATTACATGGTAAGGCCCCAATCTCTATTACATGGTAAGGCCCCAATATCTATTACATGGTAAGGCCCCATTTTCTATTACATGGTAAGGCCCCAATGTCTATTAATTGGTGAGGCCCCAATCTCTATTATATGGTAAGGCCCTAATGTCTATTACATGGTAAGGCCCCAATGTCTATTACATGGTGAGGTTCCAATCTCTATTACATAGTGAGGCTACAATCTCTTCCTCAACACAACTTTCACATCACTGTACCAAACCGCAAAAACAAAATTCTAATAAATGTCCGCCACAGAAATTCAATCCTTAAATGTTGAGGATTGTGAAATGCATTCATTAATCTCTAAGTTTCTCATCTCGAAACCTTTTTTTTTAAATCACGTAGCAGTAAACATGGCTGACAACAAATGGCTTATCAACAGCATTTTGTCTCAAAAACTGAAATACTGGCAATAGCAAATGCCAGAATGGCTTGGAAAGAACAGTGACCTAGGGCATGGTAGCGGGCAAGAGGAATTGAAGCTTAATAGCATAAAGAGGAACACAAGGTATAAGAGTTACCTTGGGCAGATAAGTGCATGAGGTGGGACAGCTGGCCAAGGATTGAGCTTTTTTTTTTCCAGACAGGCTGTGATGTAAAGGACCTACTACGTGAGGGTGAGAAGTAAACACTAGCAGAAGTTAACATCGGCATAAGTTAACATCGGCATAAGTTAACATTGGCATAAGTTAACACTGGCATAAGTTAACATCGGCATAAGTTAACATTGGTATAAGTTAACATTGGCATAAGTTAACATTGGCATAAGTTAACATTGGCATAAGTTAACATTGGCATAAGTTAACATTGGCATAAGTTAACATTGGCATAAGTTAACATCGGCATAAGTTAACATTGGCATAAGTTAACATTGGCAGAAATTAACAAAGGCAGGACTAACAGTAGAAGAAACAGGCCAAACATGGACAACACAATAAGGGGGATGTTATAAACATCAGTATAAGACAGAAAGTTTGAATAATTTCATGTCTGAATCATAATGTAAAAGAACTGAATGGACTGGCCATCTAGTGAAAATGCACCCCAAACCAAATTGCATATGAAATATTTTTTTTTAACAGCAGAATCTCTGGGAAGAAGGTGAGGGGAAGATCAAGAAAGAGATGGATAAATAGTGTAACAGCAACCTACAAAAAGATCAACAAATCCATTACCCAAGCCAGCCAAGAAGCGCACGACAAATTAAAAAAATCATGACACTGGGCTACAATCTGGTATCAGTGAGACAACAAAAGATGGTATCAGTGAGACAACAAAAGATGGTATCAGGGAGACAAAAAAAGATGGTATCAGTGAGACAAAAAAAGATAGTATCAGCGAGACAACAAAAGATGGTATCAGTGAGACAACAAAAGATGGTATCAGCGAGACAACAAAAGATGGTATCAGCGAGACAACAAAAGATGGTATCAGCGAGACAACAAAAGATGGTATCAGTGAGACAACAACAGATGGTATCAGTGAGACAACAAAAGATGGTATCAGTGAGACAACAAAAGATGGTATCAGTGAGACAACAAAAGATGGTATCAGTGAGACAACAAAAGATGGTATCAGTGAGACAACAAAAGATGGTATCAGTGAGACAACAAAGGATGGTATCAGTGAGACAACAAAAGATGGTATCAGTGAGACAACAAAAAGATGGTATCAGTGAGACAACAAAAGATGGTATCAGTGAGACAACAAAAGATGGTATCAGTGAGACAACAAAAGATGGTAT